GAAGCCCCCTTAAGGGACACCTACATCAACGTGCGCGATTGGAGGAAAGGAATCGCGATTATAAACGGATTCGTCTTGGGCAGGATTTTTGCCATTGGGCCTCAACAAGCGATGTATTTGCCCGCAGGGCTGCTGCAAGAGGGCGAAAATGATCTGATCATTTTCGAGCACTTCACTGCCCCCGAATATGTGAAATTTTCGAAGAATGCCATCTGGGGCAAGGGCACTTATGTTAATTAAAACTGAATACTATTTTTAATAAATAAAGATTTATATTCTTTCCCAAATTTGATCCGAAGAAAACCTGATAGTACCAGCGGCTTTGTAGTGTTCAAATATGACGATTTCGTTGCGGTGGATCATTGGGGATGGTAAGTAGAGGCACTAATACACTATGCAAATAAATGTCCACGCCTTTTTCAATTCCAGCGGAATGTGCTTCCAGTTCTCGATGGTTTGGTTGTTCACTGAAACATTAGTATTCCACAATTCTAGAGAAATTTTGTTCCGGGATTATCAACAGCAAGATTTTTTTTGAGGATTCGCACCTTTGTGCTGATAATACTGTCTGATCGTTCCTTACTTGTCTGCCTGCCAAAATGCTATAAATTGAGAGAAAAAAATGCCTCAAAAGCACTGCATCCCTCTCATCAACATCGCAGTTCAAGCGTCGCTCTAAAACATCCAGATACTTAAAACTGTCCAGCTCTTTAGGGCTGGAAACACTGATTTTTAAGTCATCTAGACTCATTGGGTGCCCACAGGACAACTTTCATGCATACCCCAAGCTCTTGCCTAGTTTCTGAAAGCACGGTACGCTGTACTTGGATAAATTAAACTTTTTGCTGCATCCATCCAAGTTTATACAGCAGCAACGGAAAAACAAAATACTCTAGTTTATCAAGACAAACACCACTCATAACTCAATTAGATTAGAGATTGGAAAACAACTATAAAACATTCGATTGATTTTTGAAAACCCAGTCGCTTTGCCACCTGCATAATGGCCAAACTGTTTCTTCTGTGTCTGTTTTCAATTTTGCCAGCTCTGTTCTGTTGGGTGTCTTCAGCAGATTTGCCTACTAATTATGAGTATTTCACTGAAGGCGGCATCGTCGCAGGCCTTAACGCCGATCAACGATATTTTAAGCTGAATGAGAAGGAAATTACAATCTTCAGTGGAGCTTTCCATTATTTTAGAGTGCACAGCTCCCAATGGAGAGATCGATTGAGGAAAATGCGAGCCGCAGGCCTAAACACCATTGAGACTTATGTGTCGTGGAACTTGCATGAATATCACTCAGGTTAGTCGCATATTCCATTTGGAAGAAGGTTGCAAACCATGAGTTTTTCAGGGGCGTTTGATTTCGGGCATGGCGGTTCCGACTTTGAGGAGTTTCTGGATATTGCCGAATTCATCAAAATTGCACAGGAAGAGGACTTGTTTGTCCTGGTAAGAGCTGGCCCATACATTTGCTCAGAATGGGAGTTCGGAGGTAAACATCCAGAAATCCATCTCAACCGCAAAGGGGCTAAATCTCCATTTTCAGGCCTGCCTAGTTGGCTTTTACGCGAAAAGGACATAAAAGTCCGCACAAGCGATGAAGTCTTCCTGAAATACGTTGCAAGGTTTTGGGGAGAACTCCTGCAAATTCTTGAGCCACTTCAGTTCACCAATGGAGGCCCCATCATAGCCTTCCAAGTGGAGAACGAGTATGGAAA